TAGAGTTACTCCAGTTAAGTGAGACGCTATTGTGTATGCTGATTCTATCAGTTAGGGATGCATTAAGCTGCAAGTTGCATGGCACAGTGGCTCAAACCACAAAGATATTTATTGTTTGCTTGTCTACAAATCTGGATGCAGGAGACCACAGAGTTGTTCCACCAGCTTAATGATGTCATAAAAGACCCAGGTTCCTCCTATTTTTTCATTCCTTCATCCTTATATTTCAGCACCTCATGGTCCCAGGATGGCTTTCACTTCTGTAACTTACATCATCCTTGTAACAATTCCCATGAGCTCTTCTCTCCTTTCTGATCCTTCTATCAGGAAAGCTTCATTAGCCAGAACTAGGTCACATGACCATCTCTATCAGTTATCCATTGCTGTAAAACAAATTACCCAAAACCTAGCTGCTGCAATAAACATCTACTATCTCTAGAATTTTCTGTGAGTCAAGTACCCAGGAATGGCTTAGTTAGGTGGTTCTAGATCAGGATCTCTCGGGATTGATCTGTGCCTGACTCAATTTATAAAGGTGACTGTGTGACAACATGGGGAAGTCAATGCCATTGAAAGAAAAGTTTAGTGTTACTTACAGTTCCCCTAGAAACAGGAGGCATACTGTGCCATGCAGGGCCACAGGGGAAAGCACCAGTGTCAGTCAGGAGGCAGAAAGGAAAGACAGAAGTCCAAGAGCACAGCCTTTATTGGGGTTTCTGCAGAAGGGGCAAGGCAGGGCAGGGTAAACAGCTTATAGCTGGCTAGTTTGAATAATTCCAGTGAGCTTTGGGGCATAGAGCCTGTCCCTAGTTGTCCAGTGCCTGGCCCTGGGTTGATTTATGGCAGAGGAAATATTGGCTTGATGTGTGAGAGTTAGATAAGGAGGTGGTTGGGGGTATAGACACAGGGTTGGTTGGTTTGTACATGAAAGGTGGGCTCACTGACAAGTTGTTTACTGTCTCTAGGGACTAGCTAGCCCTGGGAGGGGCAGTGTCTTCCCAGACACCAAGGCTCCCAAAGACGTTGAAACATAAAATATAGAAAATAAAAAATATGATTTGGGGCTTCCCTGGTGGCGCGGTGGTTGAGAGTCCGCCTGCCGATGCAGGGGACACGGGTTCGTGCCCTAGTCCGGGAAGATCCCACATGCCGCGGAGTGGCTGGGCCCGTGAGCCATGGCCGCTGAGCCTGCATGTCCAGAGCCTGTGCTCCACAACGGGAGAGGCCACAGCAGTGAGAGGCCCACATACCGCAAAAAAAAAAAAAAAAGATTAATACGAGTATGTCCCTGGCTCATGCTACAGTCAAAATGTTGGACCACACTGTAGTCATCCATAGGCTTGACTGGGAGTGGAGCCAAGGGGGCTCACCTACAAGCCTGGCATGTTGGTGTTGGCTGTTAGTTCCTCCCATGTGGGCCTCTCCACAGGGCTGTTGCATGTTCTCACAACATGGCAGCTAACTTCCCCCAGAATGAGTAATCTAAGAGAACAGGGCAGAAGCAACAATGTTTTTTATGACCTAGCCTTGGAAGTCACTCTTGGAAATGAATCAGTAAGTCCAGCCTATATTCAAGGGGAGGAGGTGAGTTTCTACTTTTTGAAAAAGGGGGTGTCAAAAAATTTGCAGCCACCAGATCATCCCTGACTGCAGGGGAGTTTGGGAAAGCAAAGGAGAACAGAGTTGTCAGGACTGGCTTATACTAATCATGATTCATTGCCTGGGATACAATGCCACCCCAGACAAAATCAGAGTTCAATTCTTGAGGAAGGAGAAGGAAGGCTGATGGGAAGACAGACGAGAGTGTCTGCCACAGTAATGATGACACAGATGAAGGGGAATAGGGCTGCCAGATAACTCTATGTCTCAATATTGCATGGGACAGGGAATTCCGTGGCGGTCCAGTGGTTAGGACTCCACGCTTTCACTGCTGAGGGTATAGGTTCAATCCCTGGTCAGGAACGAAGATCCCACCAGCCATGCAGTGTGGCAAAAAAAAAAAAAAAAAAAAATTGCATAGGACATATTTATATGAAGACACTATTTGTTTTTTATCTGAAATTCAGACTTAACTGGGTGCCTTCTATTTTCGTTTGCTAAAAATCTAGCACCCCTCGGTGGGAAGTAAGTCTTCAATAGTCATGGAAGGAGGCCAGTGAGGGGGTAGTATTTCTTGAGAAGAGGCAGCAAAAGGAGGCTGGGGTTGTCTGGGGGAGGAACAGATGTTTCAAAGCCTAGGGGAGGTTTTGTTGGGAAGGTAGGTGGGTGAGGTTGAGATCTCCTGTGGGCTCAATCACTCTTCTCTGTTCCCATCACCACCATCACCACCCCACCATCACCTCCACTCTGATCTCAAACACAGCCAGGAAGCCCTAGCCAGAAGCATCTCTCTTTTCAATACCCTGAGAAACTAACTCACAAAACCAAAGTGGGGGCTGAGGGCAGTGCTGTAAAATGCATGTTAAGGGGTGTGGGAACATGGAGCCTTGCTGTGTGACCTCAGGGAAGGCCCTATCCTCTCTGGGCCTCCCTTTCCTTGGCTATATAATGAACGGTTAGTCTAAATGGTTTCCAAGTGCCCTTTCACTTGGCCTACGTGTCTCCCTCCCAAAGGAAAATCTAGAGGGAACAAAAAGACATGGGTTGTTTCTCTGGTCCCATCTTCAAGCCAAATTCAGACGAAAATGTCCAGTGTGACAGAGATTTAATATAAACAGTGGTGCATTAATACTCACAAATACCCCAAAAGGAGTCCCAGATGGGCTATTTTTATCCCTTAAAACACACACACACACACACTCCAACCCCCATCACCTCCACCCATGAGAGTTTCTCCAGTTGGTTTTTATAAGAAGACAAGAGTTCCAGTTAAGAGTGCTAATTAAACAGCTTTGACTGTGGGCAGGAGGAGGCTGGCAAAAACCTCCTCTCTGGGCATGATGTCACCACAACTGTGCATTTCTCATGACCCAAGAATGTGAGTGTGTTTGCACAGCACGTCAAAGCTGGTGATGCAAGCGCAGCCTGGTAAACAGGCCCCAGACAGACAGGCCCTGCAAGGAGACTCGGTGCAGAGGCCTGGCGGAGGCCCAGGTGGTGCTTAACTCCTTCCTGGCAGAACTGGCTGCTGGGCCGCTGAGGCTTGACCAAGGAGCCTTCTCTACTCAGCTTCTCTCACAGGCAGGGTTCCTGGTGGTGGCAAGCCCTAAATTAGAGTCACTGAGACCTTCATTCTCACCCACCATTTTTTTGCTCCAGGGACTTGGGTACGTGATTCCTCTAGCCGGAGTCTCAGTTTTCTCATCTGTATAACGGGGAGAGGAATCAGGTCCCTAATACCTACCTTCAACACCATAGTCCAGAACACCTAGACAACCAAGGGCTTTTCTCTATACTCAAAGAAAACTCTTTTGGAGGCAAAATCTGACCCAAATGGACTGAAGCTCTGCCGAACTTTTATTCATCCCACTTAGAGTCAACACACACTTCTCACTATAGCAATATCTATATGTTTGATTGGAGACGGGTGGGCTCAGACTCCACCCAATCACTTTTTAAGATCTCCCAAAATTCTGAATTCTGAAAACCATCCAGCCCCAAGAGTATTGATCTAGGGTTGTAAGCCTGGGCGACCGGCCTCTGGCTCTTTGGGAGACTTACTGAAAGACTGCTTTCTGCTGGAAAGTCAACCCCGGAGGACAGGGCTTAGCTCTGTCCCTGCTATGCCCTAAGCAGACAGTGCCTGGCACACAGCAGGCACCCAACCAATATTTGTTGAATCAATAGCTGAAGTTATTCATATCACATAAATGCCGTGGTGGTGATTATGGGGAAACTGAGGCCAAAGCCTCTGAGCTGGCCTGCCCTGGATCCTTTCCCACAGAGGGAGTTATGTCTTTCCCCAAAAAAGGTAGCTGCCCTTATTTCTCTGCTGGCCTGATCATAAACAGCTTGGTGACCCCCTCCAACATTCCAGGGCAGCCTTCTCCCTGGCTGGCTGGTTGTGGGCATCAATGAGTTTTCTTTGGCCAAAGGTTTCAGCTGATTTTTTTTTAAAAGGGGGGGCCCATGCAGAAAGCTGGGGGTGGGGAAGGGGTGGTCATGGGGTGTCTGGGGAAGACAGGATCTGGGGTCAGCCTGAGACTGTGGACTAGATCCCCAGACCCTTCTGAAGACTGTGAATGTATCACTCTTAATCCTAGGGCTGGAGAATTATCCAGACCCGTGTGGAGCTGCCAGGATGCAAAAGTCCTCCCCAGTGTGGTCTGACCCATCCCCAACTGCTGTGAGGCCCCGAGTAACTCCTTTTCCCTCTCTGGGCCTTAGCATGATGGAGATGGAGAACCCAGCACAGTGGATCAGAGCTGAATTACAGACATAGACTTGAGTCCAAGCCCAGGCTCTTCCCCTTGCTGGGCAGGGAGTTAGGGCAAGTCATTTTCCCTCTCTGAGCCTCAGTTACCCCAGCTGTAAAATGGCACAGTTATAGAGACGTTGTTCTGATGAACGAGCCTGGTACACAGCAGTGATAAAGGAATGTTAGGGGCTATTACCCTTGGTCTGGATGAGCCTCCTGATCTGATGTTCTGTGTTAGGCACTTAGAACAATAATAACCTCATCGTCTGAACACCCACTATGTTCCAGGCTAAGTGCTTCACAAGCATTAGTTCATTTCATCCTCCCAACATCACTCAGATGGGTACTATCATGTCCCCATATTTCAGAGGAGGAGACTGAGGTTCAGAGAGGCGAAGTGACCCCCACAAGGCTGCACAGCTGGTGGGTAGCAGAGCTGGAATCTGTCAGACTCGTAAGTACCTCATACCATGGCTCTGTTCCTTGAAACAAGAGATTCCAGGCCCAGCTGGGCCGCACCCTGATGTGGCATATGACCAGTGCTGGGGCTGTAGGTCCTCCATCAGAACTATGAGGAAAAGCCTCCCTGCCCTGCCTCCCCTGCAGGGCTGAGGTGAGGAAGCTGGTGACCTTGAAAGGGACTTTGTGGGCTCTGAGACGGGACAGGCATTCTCAAAGTCTCAGTCGCGGGGAGGCAAGGGAAAAAATTAATGCTTTCCCAGCCACCCTGGCAAGTGTCAGACCAGCTCTGGTCACAGAGGTACGGAATAGGAAGGTAGGTGAGGTACAGCTGCCTCAGGCTGTGTTAAGGGGACTACTCAGGGAGCCAAGAACTGAAGGAGAAGTGGTGTCCCAGGACCTGACTCTCACCACCAACTCCCTCCATTAGGAGTTGGGCAGTACTGCCTAGTGGTTAGGAACTTGGCCTCCAGAGTCCAACAGACAGGGTTCAAGTCTCAGCTCCACTCATCTCTGCTGAGTCCCTTGGACTTCCCCTGTCTGAGTACAGTCTTCCCAACTGTGAAAAGGGGGTGATAATGATAAGAGCCTCGCCAGGACTGTAGTAAGGACAGGACTTGGCCCATGGATATTAGTTGAACAATTATCTTCTACACTTGGTCTGCAATCCTCAAGGAGCTTCTAGTCTGAAAGGAGAGACTATATGTAAAATGCCTGGCACAGGTAGGTGCCCACTGGATGGAAGGATGGGTGGATGGACGGACCGACAGACAGACGGATAGGATGAGAGATTTACTCCAGGTCATACAGTCAGGAGGTAACCCTCCCTGATAGCTCACATTGGGCCCCAAAGAATGCCTAAGAGCGGGTTAGAGAGGGAGAGGAAGTCCAGGTGGAGGAGACTGCACGAGCAAAGGCTTGGAGTTGGGAATTACTGCAGAACGGAAGAGATACTGGTCTCACGTGTTCTCCTTCAGTAACTTGCTCAACAAGATCCTATGAGGAGGGCCCTCTGGATGGAGGTTCTCCCAGAGTCCCCTGGGGCAGAGCCAGGAGGTTGCACAGGGAGTAGGGCCCCACAGTACAGAGGAGCAGGCAAGAGGAAGACCAGCCTTGGAGTCGGGCCTGCGAGGGCCTGGTCTGGCCATATTTGGTTTTCAAGGAACTGGGAGGCTTCTCACTGGCTCTGCTGCCCATGCACCGGAGCAAGGCCACCCACAGTTGCTGAGTCAGGATGGCAGCTGGGATCGAGAGCAGAGGCCCCAGAATGGGGTGACTGTAACACAGTGGTTCAGAGCCCGGCCTCTAGAGTCAAGAAGATGTGGGTTCAAATCCTGCTCAACTACTGATGGCTGTGTGACTGGGCCGGCTGCATCACCTCTTGGAGGCTCTGTTTTCTTTATCTGTAAAATAAAACAAGAGCAGTGAGGACAAGCACCATTATTGAGTTTGCTATGTGCCAGTCTGTGCTAAGTGCTCTACCTGCATTTCTTGTTTAATTCTCATCATGATAGAGAAATATTATTATTGTCCCCATGAAACAAAACACGTGAGACCAGTGTTTCTCATCCATGCTGCAGTAGTTCCTAACTCCAAGCCTTTGCTCATGCACACCCCTCCACCTGGAGTGTCTCTCTCTCTCTCTCCCAGCTCTAGGTATACTTTGATGCCCAGTGTGAGGTATCAGGAAGAGTTACTTCCTGACTGTGGGACCTGGGTTTCCAGATAAAGAAACTGAGGCACAGAGCGGTGAGGTCACATGCAAGTAATAGACAGAGCCAGGACTAACTAGAAGCACCTTGCCACTCCCCTGCACTTTCTTACATTCCCATTTCTATTTCTTAATCATTTCCCCACCCAATGCCCCCCAACAGCTCATGTAAAACAATACCTGGCACCTGTTCCCTCCACGTCCAATTTCCAAACTGCTGCCAAAGCCTTATTCAGCCCCTCATAATAGTCCTGTGCAGAAGGTAGGCTAGATATCATCCCCATTTCACAGATGGGTACACCAAGGCTCAGAGAAATGAAGCAAGTTGCCTGAGACCTTGCAACCAGCCCAAGGGGAAGCCAGAGTTGGACTGCAGTGCTGTATGACCCCCATTCCAGTGCTCTCTCCCCACCACGGTGAGCTGACCACTTTCTGAGACAGGTGCCCTTCCTTTCCTCCCAGCCAAGCCATTCCTAGACAATTAGGATAAAAGGGAAAATTAATCTGAGGTCCGCTTGAAAGGGAAAGTCAGGCAGGACTAGTGGGGCATTATGCAAATATATAAAGAAATTAGGCTTCCTTTGAAAAATCATAAAAGAATGAATGAACAAGCTGCAATAGTTTTAAATCAGATCATCTCCTCATGACAGGCAGGAGACCAGAACCGCTCTCTAAACCCGTTACCTCATCTCACTCATTTTTGGAGGCATCTCCTGCCTTACCCCATGCCAGGAGCTGTACTGGGAGCCAGACAAGGGCCCTGCCAGAGGAATCAATACCTGGACAGCGCTCCCCAGACTCTGCGATTTCACATTCCAGTAAAGTGTTCTCCCCAAATGAGGCACACAGTTGCCAACATTTTGCTATTTGTCAAAGAGCATTAAAGAAAAGGAAAAATAAAACATTACTTTCTGTCACCATAAAATTTAATAAGGACTAATCTCAGAATTTAGCAATTTTTGAAAATTATCTTTATAAGTAATGGTCCTAGTTTTGTCACTTGTTGCAGGCCAGGGAGAACTGTATCTAAGATGGGCATTTGGCAATCTCCAGATGAATGGGAGAGAGAAAACATTTATGCATATAACTCAGAATAGCTATATTTATTGAGTATCTTTTGGTTGAAAGCCACAGAAAACTATTCTGGCTACCTTAATAAAGAAAGATTTATTGGAAGGGGATTTTATTGGAAGATTGGATTCTGGGGGTTACGTAGTAGACAGCAGGGCCAACCAACCAACCATTCCTGGCAAGGACAGAAAACTTCAAGAACAGATGGAATCAGAGTCCTCTCTCTGCTCTTCACCAAGTGAGGACAGTGAGAAAGTAGCTGTCTACAGCCCAGGAAGTGGGCCCTCACCAAAACTTGACAAGGCTGGCACCCTGATCTCAAATTTCCCAGTCTCCAAAATTGTGAGAAATAAATCTGTTGTTTACACCAAAAAAAAACCAAAACAAAATAAAAACAAACAAAAGAACAAAACAGATGGAATCAGCTCTCTCTCTCTTTCTCTCCTTCTTGCTGCATTTGCTATCTTCTCTCTAGTTGCAGACAGGGTTCCTCCATGTGTCAGAGAACACAATGGCTAACAGCTTCCACATTCATATCTCATGGCTCCAACTTCATATCTCATGGCTCCAGCAACCAGAGACAGACCAATTAACTTCTCAGTTTCAGTGGGGGGAACCTGGAAGGTGTCTGATTGGCCCAACAGAGTCAGATGTCTACCCCTGGACCAATCAACTGTGGCTTGGGGGGGGTCTGTAACAACATGGCAGCTCCTGTGAGAACATCATGGTTGGAGTCAGGAGCAGGAGGAAAAAGAGCTGGGCGGATAGGCTGGGTGGATGATACCATAGATGTCCACCATGGAGGTGATAAATGCCTTAACAGAGGTGCAAATAAGGTGTCGTGGGAGTTCAGGGGAGGAAGGCACAACTTCTAGCTGTAGGGATCAAGTAGAGCATCTTGGAAGAGGTGGCATTTGAGCTAAGAATAATCTGGAATATACAGAGATTCAAAATGTTATCTCAAATTAGAAGAGAAAAGTGAGCACTGGTAGAGGTGTCATCCAAAGGAGCTATATATTAATGCCTTACTTTGTCAAGATTTTTAGAGGTTATCTAATTTTTAAAACTTTTTAAAGTTATTTACAGTTATTACAAAACATTGGCTATATTCTCCCTGTTGTACAGTATATCCTTGAGCCTATCTTACACCCAATAGTTTGTACTTCCCACTCCCCCAACCTTATAATGTCCCCCACAACTGGTAACCACTAGTTTGTTCTCTATGTCAGTGAGTGAGTCTGCTTCTTTTTTGTAATATTCACTAGTTTGTTGTATTTTTTAGATTCCACATATAAGTGATATCATACAGTATTTATCTTTCTCTGCCCGACTTATTTCACTTAGTGTATTGCCTTCCAAGTCCATCCATATTGCTGCAAATGGCAAAATTTTGTTCTTTTTTATGAATGAATAGTATTCCATTATGTATATATATATACCACATCTTTATCCATTCATCTGTTGATGGACACAGGTTGCTTCCATATTTTGGCAATTGTAAATAACGCTGCTATAAAAAAAAATAATAATGCTGCTATGAACATTGGGGTGCATGTATAGTTTTATAAATTTAGAATTCATATATAAAATTTACCTTATAGTTTATTTTTTTTTATTTTGAAATAATTTGACTTACAGAAAAGTTGCAAAAAATAGTTCAGAGAGCTCTCCTAAACTCTTCACCTCCTATATCCCTCACCTAGCTTCCCCTAATATTAACATCTTACCTAATCTTGGTACAGTTATCAAAGCCAGGAAGTCAACACTAATACAGTGCTATTAACTAACCTACAGACTTATTTGAATTTTGCCAGTTTTCCTTGCAATCAAATCCAGCATCCCACTTTGTATTTAGTTGTTATGTCTTCTTAGCCTCCTCCAATCTGTGACAGTTCCTCAGTCTCTCTTATCTCTTATAACCTTGACACTGAAGAGTACTGGTCAGTCATTTTACAGTATATCCCTCAATTTGGATGTCTCGTGGTTTTCGCTTGATCAGATCGAGATTATGCATTTTTGGCAAGAATAGCACAGAAGTAATTTTGTGCCCTTCTTAGTACAGCATACAAGGACTTCATCTTGTCAGCGTGATTTATTACTAGTGAAGTTAACATTGATCACCTGGTTTAAGGAGATGCCTGCCAAGTTTCTCTTGTAAAGGGTTCCTTTATAATTAGTAAGTATCTTGTTGGGAGATACTTAAGACTACGCAAAAATGTAAACTTCTCATCATTTACAGTTCTTTTTAAAGGTGCTATGCAATGCACACTTTCTACTTTTATTCAACAAACATCAACTATTCACCCACTATGAACCAAGCACTGGTCTAAGATGCATGGCTCAGTTTTGTGTAGCTTGATGACCTTGCAGGACCTTAGGATCCTCATCTATGAATTGGGTATAATTAAATTTTACCACTCAGGGCTTCTGAGGATAGAGGAGGACCATGTTTATGAAAGTGTTCTGTAAAGCTAACTGGGATTGTTCATTCTCTGTCCAAGGCACTCAGCTCTGTCCTCACCTCCACCTATTACCAGTCTCCATTTCTGTTCTGCCTGCATCCATACCCAAAGGCTTCTGTCTGTCCTCACTGGCCAGACTCCCTCATCCTATTTACCAAGACTTACTTATGATGTCACTTAATAAGTTTTGGAGACACAAGGTGAGCCTTGTAGAGACTGACAGTTTCCTTCTGGAGCATCTGAACACAATTTTGGGAGCTGCCTCGAGATGCCGTGTGATGCCTGGGACCTGTGGGTGGCAGGTGGGAGATCCTTTCTCCAATGGGAGAAATAGTGGGAGAAGTAGGAATTGCCTTCTTCCAATAATGCTTTGGCCCTAAAAGGGAAACTCTTGAGCTCCAGGGAGTACTGAATAAGCCTGCATGGATACTTGTGTCTTGCTGAGAGATCTACATAGGCACACTTTATTTTTTTTAATCATTATTTATTTATTTATTTGGCTGCCCTGGGTCTCAGTTGCCGCACACGGGATCTTTAGTTGCGACATGCGGGATCTAATTCCCTGACCAGGAATCAAACTCAGGCCCCCTGCATTGGGAGCACCGAGTCTTAACCACTGGACCACCAGGGAATCCCAGCATAGGCACACTTTAAATGAAAAACTTCATAATGTGAGAGGATGAGCTCACCCACGATCCAACCTCCTAACCCAACAGCACCTTAATTTGAGAACAGGATTTTAACAAACCAAGAGGGAGGTACAAGTTAAGTAGCAACACTCCTTGGGTTGCACTTAACCCTTTTTAAAGGCAGGAAACTTTTATGCTTGACTGGTGGTTTTGTTTTTTTGTTTGTTTACAACCTTTGTACAAGATCATTAGGAAGATCAAATAGGATAAGAGGTGAAGGTGCTTTGGAACTCCTACTGCGGAGAGTCAATATGGCTGTTCCCATTCTGTGCCCTGAGGGCAGCTTTTTAGGAACTGCTTGCCAGGATCAGAGCAGGCAGATTGAAAGTCGCAGGCAGATTGAAAGTCCCAGCTCCAACATCAGCCCAGGCCATCCTCTGCCTTCCTTCAGCCAAGAAGATAAGCCCTTCAAAATAGAGTCCCCTAAGTAGGAATCCAGCAGCATACAGGGCATTCCCTCCAGGGTCCCG